GGCCTGACTAGTGAAAAAGCAGCAATTAGCACTCATTAGCACTTATTTCCAAGTCTTCTCCATGAAAAAGAGTCGTCCAAAGCAAATTAAAAGTGTCCAGTGTCGAAGTTCTTTGACAGTTTAATGTTTCTGACTCAAACTCATTTGCAGTTCACCTGCAAGGTAGCAGAATGCAGGCAGGGCTTGTGCAGACTTGGGTTTGGGGGATTATTTCTGTAGTGACTCATAAAAGAAATTTGTGCTGAAGGTGTTCCTGCCCTCAGGCCATTTGCAAAACACATTTCTCATGGATTCATTACCCAGTGCTACAGAAACCACTACTGCAGCTTTTCCTTCAGGAAGGGCTTTCAGAGCATCTCTCCCCATCGAGCTGCCTGTTATCATGATATTAAAAATGTTTAAGAAAGCTCTTTGTTGAATTAGGTTGAAAATGAAGATCCATGGTGTATGATTCCATCACACTTTTTTGTTGCTGTTGTTCCTTTTGTTTCCTTTCTGGGGATAGTCACACTCCAAAGGGCAAACACTTTGAGACAGGGGCCTTTCAGCATGACACTTCCCTCCCTCTATGTTCACGATCCAGTTCTGCATCTCCTTTTCAAAAGATCTGCTACCCCTTTCCCAGGTGTATGCGGGTACAAAGGATACCAGATGAGTTTTCTTCCCCTCGCTGTGAGATGAGAGAGAAAAACCTGTCTCCAGGCGATCAGAATCTGTCACCAAGCCCACCGGGTCTTTTTGCAGCTCAGTGATGCCAATCAAATGGTTTCTATGAGAGACAAACTGCTATTCCTGGACTCTGGCTGACTTCTTGCTGTGGATCACTGCCTTCTGGAAAAGGGAGAAAACCCAAATCCAAACCCAGGGCAGGAGCTGAATTTCCTTTCCTCTTCAGTCCTGAGAAGTGCTGAACCTTCACATCCCCAAAAGAGATAGGAAAGCTTTGAGGGTTTCCACCTGGAATCAGTGAAATCAAGCATGGATACCACTTTGAAAGGGCATGTGTCATCTCCAGGTGAGATCTAAAGTTTGGGGAAAGTTGTCTCACTGGATAAAGCAGAAATTTTCACACCACATGGAAAGTGAAGGGAACAGGATGAGGAAGGGTCTCAAGTCAGACAGAGCATAATCAGCATTATTCCTGGAAATTCCCCAGACTCTCTTTGTAGCTTGCCTTTGGGCTGGGATTATTTTCTCCTCTGAGGGCTCTCCTTGCCCATCTTTGCTATATATTAGCTGGCTTCTTTTAGAAACAACACAGAGCTCAGTCCCTTTTCCCATGTTGAAGAAGTCTGATTTTGCCTTTTCTAATAAATCACATTTTCTTGTGATAACAGTGAACTATCCCATGAGCAAAAAACTCACAGAGAAAAGAGTCCTTCCTGACCCTGGGCCCAGGGTACAAGTGGCAGGAGTGTGCTGAAAGAGCAGTAGGCAATAATTAGCCAAAACACCCATTCAAGTGCCTAAGCAGTCCTGGATGGGAAGAAACATGAATTTGTGGAACAGCAGGGACTGGAGGCAGCTCTTAGTACATTCCTGACCCCAAAAGCAGGACACAAGGGACATCTTGCTGTCACAGAAGCAGCAGGTAATAACTTGGAAAACACAGCCAGAGAAAGCAGGTTTGCCCCTTTCTACCCTGCACAGGTCTCCAAAGATGGCATCACAGGCCAAGCTGTTCCTTCTGGGATTAGAGCCTGACATTCAGTGCAGTTAGAAAAACATGTTTCATGATTACAGTAGATTTTTCTAAGCAATTTGAGTTCAAAGTTGTCCACCATTTCTAGGGTGTTCCTTGGAGAAATGTCTGACACTGCAGCATCTCTCCTGTGAGGAAAGGCAGAGAGAGCTGGGAGGGATCCATGCACAGAAGAGAAGGCTCAGGGGGATCTTCTGAATCTACACCACTATGGAAAGTGAAATATGAGTCAACAGTGAGTTCTGGCAGCCAGGAGGGGCAGCCATGTCCTGGGATACATCAGGCACAGCATCCATCACCAGTCAGGCAAGGGAGGGGGTTGTCCTGCTCTGCTCTGAACTGGGGCAGCCTCACTTCAAGTCCTGGGGGCAGTTTTGAGCACCACAATGTAAGAAGGACAAGAAACTACTCAAGTGTGTCCAGAGGAGGGTGACCAAGATGGTGAAAGGTCTCAAGGGCAACACTTATGAGGAGCAGCTGAGGTGACTTGGTTTGTTCAGCCTGGAGGAGACTGAGGAGAGACCTCACGGTCTGCACCTCTCTCCAGGGGGGAGATGGAGGTGCTGGTGTCCCCTCTCTGGTGACCAGCAGCAGGACGTGAGGCAATGGAAAGAAGCTGCACTGGGGATGCTGTCCAGTCTGAACTTTGGGAGAAGACTCTCCACTGAGCAGGTGGCTGGGCACTGGAAGAGGCTCCCTGGGGAAGTGGTGACAGCACCAAGGCTGACAGCATTCAAGGAGGGTCTGCATGATGCTCTCAGGCACACAGTTTAGCTTTAGGTAGTCCTGTGAGGAGCAGGGAGCCAGACTCAATGATCCTTATGAAACCCTTGTGACTTGAATTATTCTGTAATTCTTTATTCACTCTTGGCCACTCTCCAGTGACCGATGTATTTCTTGCAACATCGTGCCTAAAGCGACACATCTCACTGCACCATCCTCTCATCAAACAAAATAATCTCTCATTTTTTCCATCCCTCTCTCCTGCTAGCCCAGAATGACACCTGCCTTTATCCTCCCCCAACAGCTTATTATCACCTTGCATTTAATGGTCTCTACTGTAACTTATCCACTCCCACTGCACTGCTGCTCTGCCAGCTCTCACCCATTTATACTCAAATGTCTGATTTCTCCTCCTAACTACAGCTCTTTGCACTCGCCTTTATCAAATTTCTTCTCATTATTTCAGGCCATTTTTTCCTGTGTATTATGGCCATTTCAAATTCTGATACAAACCTCCAAAGTGCCTGAGTGTATTCTCAAGTCACTGTCAACCATGGATTTTTATACAACTATTTATTTCATTGCTCCAGCCATTAACAAAGATATGGAAAAATACAGACCCTGAAATAAAATGTATCGTGGTCTCACAATGCCCTCTCTGGCTTTATACCAATAGCTATTCCAAGTGCAATTTTTCTGCTAAATTGTGTTAATTTGCTTCATTTCTTCTTTTCCTTGAAAAATGGAGAAAGAGCATAGTGAGGCAAAGAAAACATTAACACCATCAGTTTTCTCTGAATCATCTGTCATTTTTTCTCCATCCACTCATTTTTTCACACTTAATCATGTGCCTTTCCTTCAGATTTCCGCAGTTTTCATTTTGATTGATCCTTACAAGCCCTTACTGTGCCATTTCCCTTCACATTAGGACACTGCTAATGGGGCATTTAAAAAGCACCTCTCTCCAGTTATCCCACCCACCTCTCCCAAATGGATCCAGGCATTGACACCCACACTTACCAAAACTGCCTTTTGAGGTCCTTATTCTGCTTCTCTCATCTCCCTGCTGTCTCCAGAGCACCAAATGCCAATTCCACGGCCACTTCCACCTGAATTACTTCTGACTTTTAAAGTTTTTAAGCTTCAAATAAGCCTGACTGCAACCCAGAACAGTTAACTCCAGAATAATAGCAGCCTGTACCTTCTGAAATACAAACAGTCCTCTGGAAAAAAATTCTATTAACTCTCTGTCTTTTCAAGTCTTCCCATGTTAGGCACTTTCCCAACAGATCCTCAAGTATTGTTTGGAAATATTGATGGATGAAAAATTGAGCACAAGCTGGCCATATGCACTTCCAGCCCGGAAAGCCAAACATGTCCTGGGCTGCATCCCCAGCACCGTGGGCAGCAGATCAAGGCAGGGGCTTCTGCCCCTCTGCTCTGCTCTGGTGAGACCCCACCGGCAGTGCTGCATGCAGCTCTGGGACCTGTTGGAGCAAATCCACAGGAAGCCCACAAAAATGATCCCATGGCTGGTACACCTGTCCTTTGAGGAAAGGGTGAGGGAGGTGGGAAAAGCTGGGAAAAGCTCTAGGTAACCATATTGCAGCCTTTCGGTACTTAAAAGGGGCTTACAGTAAACACAGACTTTTACCAGGGGCTGTAGTGACAGGACAAAGGGCACCAGCTTTAAAGTGAAAGAGGATCAGTTTAGTGAAATTAAGGAAGAAAGTTTTTATTATGAAGTTGGTGAGACACAGGAAAAGAGTGCCCAGAGACATTGTGAGTACCCATACCTGGAAGTGTTTGAGGACTAGAGGACATTAACCAGCCCTTTCCAACCCAAACCATTGAGATTCCCAAGCTTTGGAAATACACTCCTGGTGCTCAGCATAGTGCCTCCAGCCTTTCCTAGCAACAGACAGGTCTGTGATCCAGTGCTGCCGTTTATCTCCAAAGTCACTGAAATGCACATCAATCATTTCTGGCACATGCTGACGCTGAGCTCCTCCTGTGTATTCCTCACACTGGTGTACAGACGTTTTAGCTTCACATGTTCATTCTCTCTCCTGGATATTACAGTCCCAGCTCCCATGAATAATTCATTTACGTCAATGAAGTGCTACAGTCTGTCAGGACACAGTTTCATAGCAGAAGCCAAGACAGAACCCAAAATTTCAAGCCCCTCCACCAGCTGGATTTGAGCCCTAAAGACTAGAAATAAGAATTGATTTTTTTTTTCTTTTGGACAGCATTCTCTAATGCTGTTTAGGAGCCATAAATCTCTCCTGGAAGTTAATCTGTAACTAGCAACCTTCCCTGAAGAAAGGCCCTGAGCAGTCAGTGTTTATGACCAACCAGCCAACCAACCTTTCCCTACAAGCTGCCAAAACACATCCTTGGCAGAAGCCTTGCCAGGTGTTCAGAGGGCCTTAGAGAAATCAAAACACTATTGATACCCAGGTAGGATACCCATTGCTGCAAGAGTTCACATGAAGAAATGTAACAGGATACCTCCCTCCCCCAGTCTGCCCTCCCCAAAAGGAAGAATCAAAAAACCCAAAACCAGACTTACTGCAGTGCCAAGGTCGTCATTATTACAAAATCCTGCAATCAGACAGAACTGCTTAAGGGCTCTGTATCTTTGAGACAGCTTCAAGATTACACAAAATACAGCAGTTATGGCAACAAGTCTTATTTTAGCTCTATATAACGACAGGATGACCACAAGTTGGAGATTGTCTCTTTACAGAAGTCATTAAATTCAAATAGAAGACACTGTTAATTCAACATCCAGACAAACTTTTGCTAAGGTAGATTTATTAAGCCTCTAAGTATCAGCGTTACCAAGTGTCCTTCATGAATCAAAAGAACCATGGTCTGTTTCTGTGTCACACTTCAGGTCCATCTTCTCTTGGCCAAAAAATATGTATTTTAGTTCAGAATTACTTCTTGAACTAATGTACAAAATGTAACATGTTCAAATACAACCAGAGCTGATACTTCTCGCCTCTTAAGGTTGAAATCAACTACCAGTTGCCAAGCTGATTTGCCTATTTATGCTCACTGACAAACACCCTGTGCTCCTCTCTGGCTATTTGACACTTCAAATTTGGAAGTTTGTGAAAGCTGCACTCAGCCATGCACAAAGGTACAGAAGGATTTTTACAAAGGTTTGTGCCATGCTATTACCCATCTCCACAGCATCCCTGATCTGTTTTGGGGTCCTTTCACCTGGCAATGCTCACCTGAAAGCCTGAAACCAGGAGTGTCTAAGGGTCTCTGGTGCAAATGAGCACCTAACTGCATCTCACAGGGCACCTTTTCTCTGCACCCTGGACATGAGCAGCAGGTGAGTATGTAACAATGAGACAGATGACATTTCTAGCCAAGGGTGTCAGATGTGGATTTTTACAGTCTGTGATTCAGCATCCAACAAGTGCTACTGATTTTACTGAGACTCGGACCTGGATATTTCTCCCCTACTTTTAGGGTTTAGAGGTTTCTTTAGGTATTATAGAGCACCACTCAAAAATGTGCTGTTTTAAGAGAGAAAAGTGGATAGAGGTTTTAAAATTCAGCTCAGTATTATCCATGCTGCTGCTGCTACCAATTCTGATCTTAATATTTATCCAAATAAGAGGCTGAGGGATGAGGAAAGACATGGACAACACAGGAGAAAGAAGAGTCAAGAGAACAACCAGCACGGACAGTCTGAAGCCCAGAGGGACAGGAGTGTCACTCCAAACCCTGAACTAAGCCAGGACATGTTCACAACTGCTACTTATGGGGTTACAGGAATCCTGATCCCCACATATCCATCTGGGAGATTAAACATCACCAGTACTGGCTGTGAAACAAGGAGGACTTTTCCTTGGCACTCCTGGCAGAGCTGCAGCCCAAGAACTGAATCTCACTGCTGGAGCCATCAGACACAGCCAGACTTCTGCAGGGTTTGGCAGGCACAGGATCTGTATAAAATGACTGCATGTTACCTCCCTCTAAAACTTCTGTTTGTCATCTAGATGAGACTGCAAGCATCTTCACACTGTGTTTTAAGCATATAATTAAGAATATATAGTATACAGTTGGCCCTTACTCAGCAAATGGTGATGATATAATTAAATCCCATGAACAAGGACCTGAACAACTGGAAATTTGTATTTTCAAATTTCTGTATATGATGGCTAGAGGCAGAAACTGCTTTTATGATGGAATAGAAAAGTGTCATGTACTATTCAGTGTAAAATTGATCTGAAGCATTTTTAATCTATCAACATTAGCTCCCTCAGCTCCCCAAAGGAAATACGTTTGTTAATTATCCTAGGAGATCAAAAGGACATATAGAGTGAAAATTCTTTTAGAAGAGGAATCTTTAATTTAACAGCCAAATAAAATTCACTGTCTGGTTAACTGAAGTTGGGGAAAAAACAAAGTACATCTAAAGTATGTATTTAAACTGTAAGGATATGGTATTTTGGGGGACCTGATCCTGTAGATCATATTTTATATTGGGGATTGTTTCTGTACCAGTTCTGAACATGGGACCAGTGTTTTTTGCTCTGCTAGCTTTTAAGGTTCCTCACTAGGAGTTAACCCAAAGGAAGCAGGACAACTCTAAACTGCAGTTCAGCTTGGCTGAGCAGCCCATGAATTCAGACTGGGCATCTGTCTGCACTTCACAGAGGAGAAAAACTCCAGCCCACCCACCTAAAGGGACACTCCAGAGTGCACAGGTTTCCAGCAAACTGCTCCCATCACCAAACATGTTCTGGTGAACATTCAGCAAAGACAGCTGAGAAAGTGGTAAATTAATTTGTGGAGCCCACAAGGAAGAGGTAGGAAACTATCTTCCAGCTTTAAACTAAGGCTTTGTTTTTAAAGACAATGATCTGTAGTTTAGAAGCATTTATGGATCTATTGGAAGTTCCAGGGCGTCATCTGTGTAAAGGAAGGAAGTGTGGTTAGATCACCCCAACAGTTTAAGTTATGGCTAGAAACTTTAAAACAAAGAGGAAAGCTTTGTTAATTTTTTACACTTTGAGGTTCCTACCCGATTTAGAGACATTTATATTCAAGTTATCCCTCTGGTGAGGGTGAGAAACACTCATCCAAAATCCTGCAGTATGGGAGGATTAGGTATAGCCCAGCCCTGAGTTAATGATCACCTAATTTGAATACAAAAAGCTGTTGAGAAGCAGGTTCCAATGCTTCAAACAATGCTTCAGTTCAGGGCAGACTGTTCTGACTCCAGGAGCTTTCATCTGTGATGTTTCATCAATGTGTGGATTCTTAATCTGCATAATCTTTAACTCGAGTAAGTTTTCATTCAAAACAGAAGCTAAATAAAGACATTAGGTAATAATTTAACAACTTAGCTCAGATTTAACATCCAAGAACAGATTGTAACCAAGCACCGTTCCAGTCTGACAGCAAAAGCAAGGCAAGGAAACACAAACAGCTTTATACACACAGACACAGTATCACATAACTGGTTTGAAAGAGGAACCAGTTTCCAGGGGTTATGAGCTTCTTCAAATGTCCTTTTGTTCAATGGGAACTCTGTACACTGTTAATAAATTACTGATGCCATACAAACACCTATATCCAAAAGTCAGCTGGTGATTCACCTAAAACTGTCCTCCCCCACCTCCCAAACAACAGCAATTGGTAACAAGAGCTTCTGTTTCCCCAGATTTAGCCAAGCGTCCCTTTATACAAAAAACAAGTACCAAATGAATACAGAATTTTAAGAACTGAAAGAAAAATTGCTTTCGTAAGAAACTCAGAGATGTGACACAAAAGAAACAAGACTGAGTCTGTATATAAAATTATAGGTTGATGTTAATTATGTAAATTAAAGTCACAGATGATGTCTAGTGTGTAATCATGTTAAAAAAACAGGTTTCTATTCTAAACTATAGAATTTTCTTTCTGGTAAAGAACAAGACTTGCCTAGTCCATTAACTCATGGACTATACATTACTATGAAAATGAAATGAAATTTGGTGAAGTTAAATGAATTTAATTTTGCTTTAGTGACTGTGAAAATATTACTTTACTTTAAATGCATTTAGAATTTCAAATTCCCAGTAGGTAAAATTTTCAAACTTTAAGTAGTTTACTACAGCTACAGCTGTTCTCTGAAATGAAATATTAGCCCTTGTAACAACGAAAAAATCCCTTCTCCTTTTTTTTTTTTTTTTACATAAAGGATGAGAAGTGCTCCCAAAACAAAATCAATTTACAATTTTAAAAGGTTACTACAGATAAAAATGTACATTCCTTTTTCTTTGTGACTACATATTAACCAAGACTGTGCCTAAATGCAGAGAATGCTCCATGTTTTTACTGCACAAGCATTTCACGTTGCCATATTTACACTGGGGAGTCCAAAGGTGTAGCTCAGTGGCATTAATCTTCACATTATGAGAAATGGAAAGCACTTGTTCAGCTGCACTCAGGCTGTTGCTTCTTTGCACCTGGAATCCAGTGAGAACTCACCCTGACCTTTCATGTTTCCCTGAAAAAGCTTCATCACACTTTTGTATAAACCAACAGACACTGGGGATGAACAGCCCTTCAGTTCTTTCATTGACTATAAAAAGCAGGTTTTCTTTAAATCAATAGTTTAATAGTTATGCTAAATACAGATTTTGCCACATTTCTTGCTTGTAATTCAATGTAATGCCTCTGGGTACCTCAGTCATCCTCTTGCTGATTTCTTTTCTGTCAATAGAACAGGAGAGTTCAGAATGTTAGGACACAGTTATCTGAAATAAGAGCACTAATAAATCATGTCAAGTGTTCCAGATACAATGGATTAGACAGTGACTGCATTTCTAAGTCATTTTTTGGAACAGTAAGAGATAATTTTTCCAGCAAATGGAACAGAGCAAAATCAACCCTCTCTCTCATCCTAAACTATAGAATTTTCTTTCTGGTAAAGAACAAGACTTGCCTAGTCCATTAACTCATGGACTATACAAGAACCAGAAAACATCATCGTGGTGGCAAGAGTTGGTGATGCAGATGCAGGTAACCTGCCCTCCCTTCCCTAACTTACTCATGTCTTCATGTCACTGTGCATTAAAAGAACAAAGAAACCAGACTGGAAAAGGAAAAACTCTATCATGGTTTTTCCTAATATATTTGTCTTAACTTTTAAAGAAAAAAGTTGAAAACATTAAAAGTTAAAAGCATTAGCTTCAGGCATTCAAAAAACACATTTCCATTCACACTACATTCATATTTATATTTCAGTAAGAAAGGAAACAGCTCAGTCCTTCATTAAGATATGTCAAACTGCATTCACTGCTTTCCATAAAAAATAAAATTAATTAAGCAAAGTGAGAGCAGTAAAAAGCTTGCTCTTCATCACTTCAGAAACAATCAACCCAACATTGAGTGATGGTTTCATACATTGCTTTTCCTTTAATTTTGAACACTTTGTTAGTAACAAAAGCAGAGATCCAGGGACTTTGGTGTTTCCATGTGACAAAGGTGGAAGATCAGAGATTTTTTTCTCCTACTTCTTACCAGTTTTAGAAAGTCAATCAATTTGTGAACGTCCTCTCCTGTGGAAAGGTCCACAAAGTCCTTGGGCAGTCGGTAGCTCAGGTAGGGACTGGGCTGGACAGTGACTTTGCTGTTGGTACAACGGAACACTGGATAATCCTTCGGAAAAGGAGAGAAGACAAAAACAGTGGACATGAATATTAAATATTTCTGGGACTCCTCCGTGAGACTGAGTCATGCTGCCAATGAGTTTATTTGGCACTCACTCAACTAAACTTGAGCTTTCTAAAAATTATAGCTTTCTTATAAAACCTCTGCCCACTTAGGAGCAATTTGAAATGTCAAACATGTTAAACAGTCAAATAATGGCTTTCATTACCTCACTTTAAAGTTTCTACTGTGTATCAGTTATTAATGTATTTAATAAATTCATGCTAGTGGCAGTGCTGTAATAAGGGAGCTATAAGGAACTTTGGGCAATAGTATCTAGATACACATCTGAATAGAGAAAAATCTTTTTGATAGAATCCCTAAACTTGTCTTCACAGTTTCCTTGTTTAAACACATTGGTAACTATAATCTTACTGAAAGTATAATTTAAGCTTTCCAACCAATTTACTTACCAAAGGAAAAAATAAAAAGGGCCAAAAGGATCTCTAAATGCTGAACTGTAGCAACAGGTTTTGGAAAATCATATCATTTTCAGTTCAACACATTGACATGCCATGCAATTGCCAACTGTACTGCAATAAACAGCTTCATTTTAAGAAAGATCAGCAACTGTGTACCAGATTATGTGACTGGATGTCAGACGAAACATGAAGACAAGTTATTCTACTTTTCACCCAGGACTGAACTACAGAAAACTGTGCAAAGCATCTGGCAATGAGAAAAAGAAATCCCAAAATGAAAATTCACGTGTCCCACAGACAGCTCTAGAATTAGGAGTGTGTTTTAACAAAGGAGACACAGCTTTCAGCAGGAGGGTTCATGGAATGGGTTTTCATTCCATGGTGAGACAGAGGCAACGGCCTGAAGGACAGCCTGGAGTGGGGTGTCCCTGTCAATGTGTTATGGAAAGGGCCACAGGACTAAAGAAACTCTCAGATGTTAAAATCACCTCAGTGAAGTTTGTCATTTCAGTGACCTCTAATGCAGTTCAACAGCTAGAAAATAAAGAAAAGCCACACTGGCCAAACACCACTCCTCAGAAAATAAACAAGTGTTTCCCAAGATCCACTAACACACCACTTCCTCTCTCCCACCCAGCTGCCCAAGGACTTGTTAAGATGTGAGGACTCTGTCTCAAGATGCAGTGAGAAAAAAAAGCTGGAATACTTGAATAAATGAAGACTATTCCTCCCTTTCTGTATTAACGGGGAGTTACTTGTTTTTACAGAGGAAACGTGGCTTGGAAGAGGGATGGAAAAGCCTTGTTCTGAAAGTCCTGGGAGTTCAACCAGAGGACAAGGCTTTGCTAAGAGTATTCCAGATGAGGAAGAGACAGAAGTTAAGCTTCTGCTTGTTTTCCCCCAAGCATAAAACTGAAGATGTGGGAAACTGCATGACAGATATCAAGAACCAAGCAGAAATTTAAGTGATTATATAGAAAAGTAATAGATTTTAAGAAAAACTGAAAGGAATGCATCAAAACTGTGTAAAAACAAGTTTCAGGGCATCTTCTTTGCAATGGGGTCAAAGCTGCAATATGGGCTTGTACTGTTTGAACTAAAAATTCCCTTGCAGGCATCCAAAACTAGCAGGTGATACTTGTTGAGATGAACTATAAGGTAGCTTCTTCTTAAAGAGAGCTTACATTTCACAGGAGCTTCATTTACTTCAATGGGATTTGCACCACAATTTGATTGTAACAGCAAAAGAAAGAAAAAAATAAGGGCATAAATCCTGTTGGATGTTATTCAGCCTCTCTCACCTGTTCTGTTTCTTCCCCTTCACTCTGGTCTCCTTTCAAGTTTTTTCCAGAGGTGAGTTCTTCCCATGTAAAGAGCAGGGAGTCTGTTACTTCACCAAATGGGTTAAAATCTATTAACCAAATCTTACCCTGCAAAGGAACCACAGACAAATTAAACCAAACCACAGAATTGAAACAAAGCAAAAAAGAAAAAAAAAGAAAAAAAAATACTCATATACTCAGATTATTGTAGTACTCTTGGTCTTTACATAAAAAGATGTTAAAATTGAAACTACCTGGGTTTAAGCATTTAAAATATTCTAACATCCTTTACCTTATAGAGTTTAAATCACAGCAAGCTATCATGTACTAATTTACTTTCATTTTTTTTTAAACAGTAGATCAGACAGAGCTCAAATAAACTGAACTTAGTTCTATGCCAAGTGTTTAGATGAGCCCACTGAAGTTCTGGCTAATCCCCATGATCCACCAAGATCCCCAGAGAGAATGAACAAGGAATAGGGGAGAGCACTAATCAAAAACCACAAAACAACCCCAAACCCAAACGACAACCAAACCCAAAACATGACCAAACAAACAAAAAAACCCAAACTGCCCACACAGGGATTTTGCTTTCCATGAAAAACCACCTCAGCAACACTGCACCATCCAGCAGTCTACAAAAATTGCTGTTCTTGGTCTTACAAGGGACCCTAAAAACAGAGAACAGGGTCTGCAAAATGCTGGTGGAGCTCATGAAACCTCAAAGATGCTGTACATACATAGATAAACAAAGACTAACTTAAAGGCATTTTTAACATAGCCATTACTAGTAATCCACACTGGTTTCTACCCCATCTTTAACACATCTGTGCTCCAAACAGTTGTGGTAGGGTGCACAACAACACAACTGCTTTACAAATGAAAAATGAAAGCAGAGACTAACAAGACCTATTAGAAGTAACTGACGTGTGGGGGAGGAAGAAATAGTCTGTGTTCCTTGAGTCACTTCAAGACACAACCCCCAGCACTGGGCCATCTTCTCTTGCCCAAGGAAGTGTCAACTATTCTAATAAAACAAAACACTGTAATAAATTATAAGGAAATATGACTACAGCTGCTAGTAATAATTTGCAAAACCAGTATTACATCTGGAAGAAATCAGCTCTATCAAACAGGGAAGGAAAAAGTTGCAGTAACATAAGCAGGGCTGAAGAGTTTTATTGTGTTTGTTATAAAGATCAACTGGAATTGGAAAACAAACCTGAAGACTGTGTAGCTACTAGACATTCATTTTGCTTTTTCCTCTTTTCCTTCATTTCTGAAGAATGTTCTTGCTTTAAAAGATCTTGCCTATCTTGATACAAACAGCAAACACATTCAATTATTTACACTACAGCCATCTGGTTTCTAACACACAAAGATGCTTTCGAAGCGTCGACAGAGAGTAACATGGAGACTGCCTCTCCCACCCATGCCCCCTGAGCTATCCCACAGGCACTGACACACTGTGGGTCTGCAAGTGATGGAAACCTGTGAGCAGAAATGTTCTGGTGCCTCTGTTACCATCCCCAGCGAGCTCCTCGTGCAGGTGTGGGGAGTCCCAGCAGAGATGAAACCAGCGGCTATGACCTGCAGGCTGGAGCTGGGCCAGCAGCCCAGCAGGGAGCGTGTGGCTGCACACAGGCTTTCACAGGTGTCTGTCTCAGGGCAGGTCCACGGGGAACAGCTCTCACAGAGCACATTTTAAGAAGCCAAAGCACAGAAACAACAGTGCTGAAACCAGACAGCTACAAAACAAACTACAAACTGGGGGACACAGACCTGAGTGGTTTCTTATTTGTTCTGGAAGGGTGAGCAAGCCCAGATCTGCATGGTTGAGCTGCAACACCTCTGCACTAATATTGGCACCACCAGAGCAGAGAGCCAGTGGGGCAAGCTCTGCTGTCATTTCCCACCTCTGGTTCTCCTCAAAAGGCTGTCACAAATTCTCATGATAAGCAATCTTTTACTTTTGCTAATGGGGGTGTCTTGTCAGCTCCAAGGCAGAACGAGGAGGAATCTGTGGGTTTAGATTCATTCTATCACTCTAGAAAAACAAGCTAATGAACCAATTTAATCACAGACAGAAGCAATGGCTAGCAAAGTTCATTCAGCAGTTCAGAGAACCTTTCCTTACATCAGAACTGTTTATACCCAATACTTCCTTATGAAAGGCTTTCACAGAAATTCCTCTTCACCCCAAATACATCCAGCTCAGCTTTTTCTCAGGAACATTAAGATCATTTCTCTAGAGAATTAATGTACCCTGGAAAAGACTGAAAATTGATTTTAAGACTACTGAAAGCAACATGTTTTTTTGTGAGCAGCCAGCAGTGTTCCTCTACCCCTGCAGACAGCAGTGCAACAACTGTTTCCTTGAGATGGTCCTAAATCTGCACTGAGCTTTGCTAGCTGCAAATTGATGACAAGTGGCAAAATAAACTCAGTATCTCTTTTCAGGGCTCATTAAAAGGAGTGTATGTAACCCTGGGTCAGCAACCAAACTGCCTTTTCTTAAGATGAAATTCTCTCTCAAGTCTTACATGCATGATTTAAATACAGTTTCAGATAATTTGCACTGTGTATCTAAAAAGCAGTAGTAAGGCTATTTATCTGTTATCGTTTGCCTGCTATTAGTAATCTTTGTCATACAAGAGCAGAGAAATGCACAAGCCAGGAAAAAAAAGTCGTGCATAAGTGGAGGGGGAAAAAAATTCCCCTACTTGTACTACATGGTGTTTTCTTCTCATCCTAAAAGAAGGAATCAGTAGATTTACCACACCCTGTCAGCTTCATGCTTTTTTTGCTAAGGCATTAAGCAGCGGGGAGCTGAAAGGAAGTGCCCACGACAAAGCCTGTTGTTTAAAGGAAGTTACAGACAAATAAAATGCAAACTTAACTGTTACATCTCCCTAACTCCAGCTGCTCACAAGGCACAGACACAAGCACTGGTCTGCTCCTTAACAAGAGCTGTGAGCCAGCAGTGGCTCTGGAGCCACTCCCTGCATTGCTCTCTCTTACCACAGTGACTTGTCTTGAACTTGGTTTGTTGTAACACCTGGGGGACAGCAAAGAGCAACAGCAGAGCCGACTCTCAGGCTTTTGTGAACTTCCCCCTCCAATTCAGTGAGCAGGACCTGTGGAGCCAACTCCAGACAGTCTCTACAGCAACTGAAGAGGGCGCGGGAAGGAGACTGCGGTCATTTACAACGGTAGCAACTTGCTTCTCCGAGCTGAATATTTGGAGTTGAAAGCATATAAAACAAGCAGACAGTGAACATTTCTCTCCTTCTGTAGGTGAGGTTGCTGTGCAACCAGCCTGATGAGGAGCACGGGCTCTGGAAATTAATCATGCTCACAATATTCTTTTGCTGCCTGTAACTCACACGCCAAGGGAGCGATGAATAACACAGTTGCAAACCACAATAGTACGTGTGAAAGGAGAAGCATCTGACACACAAAGGGCTAGCTGGCAGTTTACAAGACCTGAGGGTAGAAGGCACCGAGAGAAATCTACAAACAGATATATTTTGTCTTGACAGATGAAGAAACACTGCTCATTTGAGATACCACAGACTGAAACCTTTTATTTAAATAATTTCTCTTCATGCCTCAGCTACGAGGCAGAGCACCCAACGGCAGAATCTGGTTCAATGCTCAAGTGCTGCTCCTCATTTTCCCTGACAGCATGCTCATGTCTGTCGATCTGAGCCTGGGCAGGTAATTTCAATTACAGCAGAGCTGCTTTACCCCACAGCCTCGTTTTAGGTACCTACATAAAAGCTGGGCTGAGAAATGGCACAGTCATTGTTTTCCACAGGAGACACGTTCCTGTTTTGTAAACTGTGGCATGATTTACTGTTACAGAATTACAAAATAGTTCAGCAACATTCAAAACGAGAATCAGGACTTACTTCCAATACACTCAACTCCAATAAAGACTTTCTCCAATCAAGTCCTTCAAGCACAATTCATCTGACCAAATACTTCTCCCCACTCACACTAGGAGAAGCCAAGGTTACTAACTCTGATACTGGCACCTTCATAGAATTATTTAGGTTGGAAAAGTCCTTTAAAATCAAGTCCAACCCTTAGCCCAGCACCTCTGTGTTCACCCCTAATCCACACCTCCTACATGTCTTTCAAATAGCTGAGGTGGGATGCTTCTCCCCAACTCCATCACTATCTGGATGTTGAGGGTTCTGACCTGCCCAACTCTGAGTTGGAGCAGCTTGGAAAGAAAAAACTGGCTTCCATCTGTCACAAACTGGGCACACCACATTCACAGCCTCTTTGGACAATTATCCCTTCCTATCTCAGACTTCCAGATATTAATAATTTTCCAATCTCACAAGGACAATCTGAAGAAATATTAAGAATAATTTTGATGAATTCAAATACTCTAGTGAAAAAAAAAACAAACACAGGAAAAAAGCCCAAGGAAATATCTGTCTTAAAAGAAAATGCCCCAAACCTTGTTTGTGTGCTTGAAAGCTATTTGGACCGTGCCCTTAATGAAAGAGTCACAGAATATCCTGAGTTGGAAGGGACCCTCAAGGCCTCTGAGTCCAGCTCAAGGCCCTGCACAGGACAGCCCCACAAATCCCACCATGTGCCTGGGAACACCACCCATAACCACATGCTTTTAACTTGCAGTCAGCCCTGAACTGGTCAAGCAGTAGGACTTGATGACCATTGTAGGTCCCTTCCAGCAGAAATGGTCTATTCCACTATAAATTACTGCAGCAAGGACTCTCATGTCATAACAAAAACTAAGTCGCTTCTTGTAGATTCACAGAACTGAGAAAATTGCAGTCAAAGCCTAAGTTCTGTGCTTTAGAACAGACAACTTCTCTGGAAGATATTAACTAAATAATTGCATCACTGGCACAGACATATTTACACTCCTAATCCTATTATTCTCCTACTGCAGACAGCATTTATCACAGAAAAAGACCTGTGGAACAGAGTAACATCGAGTAGGTTTTGCTTGGTGTTTTTTTGTTTGGTCAGGGTTTTTACTTTAATGGTATTTTTTTGTTTGTTTGGTTGTTTTTTCCAGGACCACTTCTAGGAAGACAAAGCTATTACTTGCTTGATCTTTGTAGCATTTCAAGTTTTCACAGAAGAAACCATTATATACAACCTATTGTTCACTTACCCTGCTGTCTCTGTACACATCAAAAACAACTGGAAAGGAGAAAAAAATGTTAATTGTAAAAGATATATAATTTCACAGAAAATGTCTAAATCTGAATAGACATTTGTGTACACAGCACAGTCTGGAAAGTCAATATGTCTAATGAACTGCAAGCCAGAATTGGGTATACTTCTAAGAGGGAGCTGAAATGTTTCAAGAACTATTGTTAATGCACTGGGAAACCAGCTGCTGGGCTTTTTCATTTAATGCTGGTTTCTTTTGCTGATTTTTCTCCCATGAAGAATATTTGATAAACACTTGCCCAAAGAGCTTATCTTTGACATTACTGCTGTTTCTTTTACAGCAGAACAGGGATGTTTCAGGGAAGGATCAAGACTTCATTGTGTTGGACGTTGCACAAACATTTAATAAGAGAAGGTTCCTGCTCCACAGACATTAGGATTTTAGCAGCTAACAAGACAAAGAGGTTGTAGGAACAAAGGGGTCGGTGGCAGTGAAATGGCCATGTCTGATGTCACCCAGAGCAGACACAGCACACATAATTAATATCAACAAATCCTTCAAACAACCCCCTTGCCACTCAGTAACTGACTCAAAGCTGCCTTGCCTGGCTCCACTGCTGTTCCTCCCCTTGGCTTAATTAAACATGACTCTGTATGTGCAGCTTTCCATCAGCTCCTGTTCTGTTTGGTTAAACAAACCTTTGAGCTGTCTTTCTATTGAGCTAGGGAAATCAACAGGGAAGCATTCAGGCATGGCTACATGCAAAAGTTGTACCAGTTTAGCAGGAAGAAAGGAAAAAGAAAAAAAAAAAGAGATTTTGAAAAGCCTCAGACAAGTGCTATATTGTTACTTCCTTCACTAATAATGGAATATTTCAGCTAAGAGATTTCCCAATACATGTGGATAAACTAAACTCAGGATATGACTGCAGAACACTTGAGTCTCAGGAAGCTGCCTGTCAGGAACAGGGATGTTGACTGATCACATCCATGCATGTAAAGCTTAATCTGACATTTCATGTGAAGTTGGCTGGGCTAAGGGCAAACCACAACTCCACAAAGCCAAAGCCAGTCACGTAGCTGGTTTTTACCATGCAGCCTGAAAATCCACACAGCTTTTGCATAAGGTGGGCTGCATCAATGCCAAAGTCACTCCAGGATTAAGTGCTCTGCTCTCCCAGGAAGACAAGCCCTCAGTGGCTAAGCCAGTCATCAATGCAAAGGGGGGTACAGGAACCCCAGGATTTCTTCTCCAGCTGTTCAACTGAACTTAGTGCTTGCACCACATCCTCTCCTTAGTCACATCCCAAAGATATCCCTTGCATCTGAGGGTTTCTATAGTGAGGCCTGTCAGCCCAAAGCAATCACTGAGGCTAGTGGTATTTACTGGGAATCCTAGTGGTATTTACTGGGATTCACACAGCTGGAATTCAGACTGATTGCACTCTGGTGACTGGTTCAGGGCAGTCACAAACACTGAACAAGAAGAAAACCTGAATTATTCCCACTCTCAGAGCAGGAGTGTCCCATGTCAGTGAGACTGTAGTGAAACTTCACCAAAAACTGCCCTAAAGATATGGAAAGCCAAAACCCAGCTCTGCACTATAGACACCTCCAGAGCACTGCTCTTACTGGGCTCTTATCAAAGGTATTTAGGAGGTTCTAACATAATTTAGAAGTATTTATAAAGCATTCACCCATCTGTTATCCTACTGTTCTGACTCTGCAATGCTTCAGCTGCTCTGACTCAACTCTTCCATCTGGAGATGCTACCAGACCAACTGGAAAAAGCAGAGCAAACAGCATCAAAATCCCCAATGAAACAAGAAGTCAGGAAAAAAGCTGTAATACCTTTCCTTTTAAAAGCAAACAAACAAGCAAACCCAGATTTTTATTGTTAACAACACATATGCTACCAGGCAGTGGATCAAGGGAGATGATGGGGGACAAATGCAATGTGATTAAAAAAAAAAAACACCCACAAAAACACAGAAAACATTTTCTGCATGGCATTTCTCTGCAGATGGACCAGCACTTAGTGCCTAAGAATAAAAGGTTAACAAACCTTCATCCCAGAAGGTTTCCCTGAAACCTGCTTTTCCCTCAAGGCAACTCAGATGGCACCCTTTACATAAGATGACATTTCAGACCTTTCAGTTCACCAGACAGCCACTTCAGAGCCTGAATCTAGGCATCAATATCCAAAAATAGTGCCCTGAATTCTTATCTATCAGTTGATTACATACTAGCTAAAATTACATTGAAACACAGAGGAAAATTAAAAGGCAGTAATCAGAATACCAGATCTGTATGACTGATCTTACTTCAAAATGCAATGGAGTTATTAAATTAATGTATTATTCTACTGGTCTTCTCCAAGCAGCAGTCCATGAGAACTTCTCTGGGCTGAAAGAGAACAGCTTTGCAGAGTCAAATTATTGAGAATTTCAATACAACAGAGACTGGCACTTGAAGGTACCTTTTTCAGACAGATAGGACAGATCTATTTGACTGCTGTGGTGTATCAATAAAACAATTAATAATGTTTAAAACCCACCTAAAGGTTGACTTTTCAAAGCATTAGACATGACAATAAACTGCCAGAAAATTCTTATGTTTATGGGTTTTTACTAAGCTGAGGTTCGGTCCATGCCAGACCTAATTTAAATTTCTTCATCATGTTTTTCACCACTATTGATCACCCATCATGATGCAACACCATTCAATTATCACTAAACCATGTTAGAAAACTATTCTAATAAAATTTGCAAGGGGCTTCACATTTAGAGAACAACACAATTTACTTGGACTGATTAGGTGTATCAAATATTGTGGCCTTTATTCAAAGGCTTTGGCACCTAACCTGGTGTGCATTGATATTCTAGAAGAAATAATTAAAACTTCTTGAAAAGAAACTTAAAAATCCTTTATTCAAGGAATACATCAATAATTTAGCAGCAAACATCTGAAAACACCTTTATGAACAAGTATTCTTCTCAAGAATACTTGAGAAGAATACCTTTAGTCAAGAATCTTTTTTAAGATCTTTTTCCCTGCTTTTCTGGCATAAAAATTACTTTCACGTATAAGGGGGAAAAGCCTTAAAAAAATTATTACAACTTCTGAAGGTATCTTTCACTCATTTCTTGTGTTTTCTTGGAGAGTTCCAGCCCTTCCTTCAGGGTTTTTTTCTTAGGAATGTAATTCCAAACCTTTGCAGCTACATGCTGTAGCCACAAGAGCTTTCAGACTCTCCCAAGCTAAAGAGAACCAAGCCATGTGAAAGCAAGAGCAATGAAGAGAGAGATGCATCCCCACAGATACCCTCAAGATACTTACAGTCTTCATCCAAGAATTTATATTGTATGTGTTTCTTGAAAAACTCCTGTATGGATCTACAGATCTCCTCATGTTGCTTAGAGATATGATCATAGTACTGGGTGTAGTCCCTCTGTGATATACCTGTCAATAATTTCAGGTAATTGTAATTATAAAGAACTCTAAGGCATGCAAAAAACCCAACTGGAAAAAAAAAAAAAAAAAAAAACCAAAAAAAAAAAAAAAAACCAAACCAAAAAAACAGTTATCAGACACAGAAGATGGGGTTTTCCCAAGTTTCTACCATTATTAGTGACTTACTCTTTGGCTTTATTCTGCTATACTTCAAGTACTTCCATGAGGAATCTCTTTCTTGAACAGCTCTGTCCAGAATTTTGTGAACCTCATTTTATATGTACACACTTTGACTATTTTGAAGTGAATTTCAGGAGGAGACTTGGCCTGTGTTTAAGTTTCCAGCTCCCATCTTTTCCTTTCAGTTTTATTCCCTTTGGTTACTCTGGTCAAAAAGGTTGCTCTGCACATCACATGTAGGGACCACAATTTGGAACCATGAAATGCCAGGGGTGGAGGCTAAGCTTGCACATTTGCCAAGATGATTCTTGGATAACACAGATTCTCATTTAACTGATTTTTTTAAGTGTGGAATTACATGTGCCTGTTTGATATGGCACTACAGGTGAATCCCTCAATCCCCAAATCAGTGGGATGACATGCAGGCCAGTACCTTGGTGCTCCCATTTGCTCCCTCAAGGGTTTTCTTGCCTATGTAGACAAACCATCCCTCCTACAAGCTCTTAATTTCATATATTTCTCTACAAGACACTGGTTTAAAATGACATCAACAGGATTGTACACTTGCATGCATCTTGAGTGACAAGAGTTCTCATACAGGATATGTGTCAACATAAAACATTGCAATACCCTGCTTGACAAATGTCAAATCCAAGACCTGCCCCATCACTGCAGAATGAGTAATTCAGGCTATTTACATATAAAAAGAGACAGAATTCCCCAAGGAAGATGTATCAGTGACCTCAGTTTGCTGTTTTAACCATACACAAACACAGTTTTACTGTAAGACAATGCTAACTAGCGCCAAAGGTGTGCTGTTTTTTAAAAAGTTCATATAAAAAGTTTGTGATGTCAGTGGAACTCTTAATTTTTAATACCACTGCAAAGCTTGAGTCTAAACAACAAAAACCAAAAGATGATGGCATCTAAGGGGATGCAGATGTGTAACTGGAAAATCATTCACTATACTGCAAGTATCATTCCTTAGTTTGACTGACAGGTTTATTAATTTTAACAGTATGGGAACATATTGTGAAAAATCTTGGAACTATCTTCAGAAATGCAGCTGGAGTGCTAGCTAAAAAAAAATCCCACACTGGCAGATATACTAGGTTTCAAAACCTGGCCATGAAATGTACAGAGTGCTTAATTAGCCAGTGTACAAATGCTTTGTGTATCTCTGGCAGTTAAGGTGTTCCAGCATCACAAGGCAGGACAGCATTCAGCTCTCCTCCCTTCAAAAAGCTCTGTCAGGAGCCATTAAGCAATACAGACTTAATGGGAAATCTCTGCTATTAGGAAGATTAACTCTTAAACAGAGAGCTGTAATACACTTGCAACTGGCATAAATGGAGAGAAAATGGGAAGATGAGCATAGGAACACGAGACAGAACAGCCAAATAAAAGGGCTTAGGAGAATGGTGTGTGTTGATTAGCACAGCTCAAATACCTGTGTGCAGCTCCATAGGGAACCCAAATCAGGAAATGAAGAATGGGGAGTGTGCTCCTAAAGGTTCACAGAGGTGGGACTGGATGGAGCAACAAATTGCTGACAGTTCCCAACACATACAAAAAGGCACAGCCAAAACAAGCCCACACTCACCATGCTAAGACAGAAGGAACAGTGAGAACTACAAAGCCAATATCCCTGGCCTTCCATATCATCACAAGGAACCCTGGACAGACCACTTGTGGATATGGACTTGGTGCTTGTGAATATAGGCAAAGTGAGCAAAACAAATTTTATCTTAAAGTAAAAAAAAAAAAATCTCCTTCCTTCCTGTAGAGTCTGTATTTGCTCCATCACTGCTATAACACTTCCTTGTTAGAAGAGTTTAGGCAGAATGATTCAACCTTGTTCCAAACAAATGTGCACTAATCCTGTGCTATTTGAGTTTCTGTTCATCTCTAAAGAATTCATGGTAGACCAACCACACCAAAATCAAACTTCAGAGTACTAATTAGCCTGAAATTAAACCCTCAAGTCAAGCACCTGTATGTGCACTGGATATCATTTCCTGCTACAGTCAGCAGAGAATAGTCAACACAACCAGAGGAGTAAAACTGAGCTAAATTTACCTTAAATTACCCTAAATTTACCATACTCAGCTGCCTACAACACATGCTCTAGCACAATCTGCCTGTTCTCCAGCTGCCAGAGGTCTCCCAATGCACCCACCAGCTCTGTGCATGCTGTGGATGCATACCATGGCTCTTCAGTGCCACTTGAAATGTTTTCCATTTAGGATTCTGCATTTGAGTAAGAGAACAACAGGCTCTAACTAAGCTACACTGAATTTAATATGAACTCAAGACACCTCATACACCTGTGGAGATGTTCTGACCTCCCCAACTTTCTATATATAATATCCACGTGGGGTCATGTATTTACAGCACAACACACAACTGCCTCTGCATTCATTCTGCAAGCTGGAGATGATGCCATTTGCTCCTGAATATAAAAGACTCTGCCTTTGGGTGAAGTTTCTAAATTAAATTAAGAATATTCCCACTGTAATGGCAAGCATGCTGAGCTATCAGGTTTTCAAATACAGTGGAAAGTGAGATGTGGTAAACCACATTTTAAATTACAGAGAGAATAAACCATTAATTTTAGAAATGAGGTGTGAAAAGAAAGAGTTTTCTTAAGACTTAGCTCTCATTCAAAGAATCAGAGAAACTCCTCAAAACTTCATCCAATAATTTTGTTTTTATGAAATTCCTTACCTAAAAGCTTGCTTTCCTTGACAAAGCATCTGAATTCTGCACCAGGGATTAATTCACACCATTTGCGAAGAACAAGCTGTGGAGGAAAAACAAATGACAAAGCATTGTTTCAGATGACAAAAGTAACAGCATCCTTTTGTCAACAGGTCTGCCTTTTAGAGCTATAGTTTCACTGTAATGATAAGATGACCACTGATACTAGAAAACAAAATAATCTTAAATCTGCAGTTCACATAATCATCTTTGAAAATATTTCAAAACAATTAGATTTTATATTAATTTCAGAGAATCACAGAATGCTTTCAGTTGGATAGCATCTCTAAAGACTGTATAGTCTAAACTAGCTTAAAGCAGAAAGGTTCAGATTGGACATTAGAAACCATGAGGACTGTCAGGCATTGGAAGAGATCCCTCGCAGAGGTTGGGCAGCCTCTACCCACTGAGGTTTTCAAGACAGATTTTATAAAATGCCAAGCAAGACAATATGATCTCATTCCTTATCCAGCTTTGAGCAGGAGGATGGACTAGACACTTCCTGAGGTCTCTACTCACCTTAATTATCTTATGCTCTTCCACTTTGTACAGTATTTATAACTGTGAAGTCATTTATGAAACAATTTCCAAGTTACATTAATGATAAAGCATGGAAAATAAAAACCCTGCTGTACAACACAACAAATCTGTCACGGAATTGGCAGAAAGTTGTTCCCTAGTCAAAGGAGCTGATGAGCAGAATTAAATTTATCCAAATCAACCTCTATTCTGGTACACACCCAAGCAGAATTCTGTGACGCTTTTGAAGGCGCAAACCAGTTAAAATAAGGACATGGGACAGGAATAGAAAGCAAACTATTATAGTCAATAGGACAGACTGCCTGGGAATTAAAGCATCTTTCTGGCACTTTCTCAAGTTTCTGTATTTCCTAAGCTGAAATATTCTGAAGGATTTATGCTTTTGAAGGCCCCAGTTACTGCTACTGGATGCTGAAACTCCCAAACCTTTAAACTGCAGCAGAAAGCTTCAATAACCAGAGATGGCATTCCTAACTACAGTGTTAACATTAAACTCTTTGTTCCAACTTTTAGATGTCCTGTATCTTTAAAGCACACTTGATAGTGCTTTAAAAGCACTATCACCAAGGTTCATTCACTTTCGAAAAGCCCTTTAAGCCTACAGCATGATGACAAATGTTATATTTACATAAAAACTATTATTAGAGAGATGACTACATGTTACCACAAGAGCAGTAGCTCCACATTAACAGTTTAAAGCATCTCTAGCTGAACATTTTGATCTGGTAACAAACATAGGAAACCAGATGTGACAGACCAGTTCAGGATGTCCCCAGCCACTGCAGCAAATCTCACCCTTGGTAACCTCAGTGTGATGTTCACAAGCAGCTCACCATCAAGAATATATTACTTTGAGCTACTTGTCCTTCCTGTCACAACCTGACAGACATGAGAGGACATTGCAAGGAAGCTTCTCAAGTCTGCACTTGAGCCCACCTGATCTGCAATTAAATGAACTTCTTATGACCTGCAGTGCTGAACCAGACTTCCCTTCATATTGAAAGCAACATGAATAAAACAAACACAACACATTTAATGGACAGAAACCCAGTCACAAATGTCACCCAGCCTGTGAGCAATTCTTTTAAATTACTTAGAAATCATGCAAGGAGTCCTACCTCATAGTTCAAGGAAGGATCAGGGGAATCATCAGTACAGTGAATAAATCTGGAAAAGTAAGGCATAGGCTTCAAAATCTGCTTCACATGTAAGATTTTAGCCATAGCGAGAAAAATAACCCCAAACTGTGAAACATAAGAACTACTGTTAAATTATTTCCAATATGTACAAAGCAAGTAAATGCAATACGTAACTCTCCTTTTGACAATTATCATGGGAAAAAACCAGAATCATCACCTCTTTTATTCTAGTATCATTTGGAAGCACTTAAATCCGGACAGGGATGTGTCCAAAACGTCAGTGTTTATTCACTGTTGATTTATTTCTGTTAGAATCAACAGTGCTTCTCTTTTCCCCTTGTATTGTTATGTTGGCATAACTGAATTCTCAAAAAATCCAATAAACTTGAGCAATCTAATCCAGTTGCACTGCAGCATGTTTTGCCAAGTACTTTTAATGTTTAACTTCCCAAACCACACAACAGAGACACATCATCATGCCTTACAGCAGTTCATTTCCATGAATAAAGGATGCAAAACAGCGCTGCTGCTCGGCACTCCTGATTCCATAGCATGGTATTTTCTAAATTAAGAGCCTGAAGAAATACTCTTAGAAATCCCTTGAGAGTGGGAATAAACAAAACTATTTCCACAACTCTAAGCAGATGTCAAGGTTTTGTCCCTTGTGAGGAGCTGACTCTGTCAGTCTCCTTTCAGGAGCTAGCAAGAATGGAGGAAGTTACAAGCCAAGTCAACTTCCATGTACCTTTTTGTCATTTTACAGTAAACCTTGCAATAGATTCTGTAACTTTCAAAAGGTATTCACAGAAGAACATGTGTTTTTCTTCAAATTCTACTCCCTGACTTTATTGGCAACAAACTGCTTGGAAGCACAGAACTGTGTTAAGGGTCACTGCTGAGCAATAGTCCTAAATACAATATTTATAGGATCTCCTTTTGGCAGAGAACTTCATTCAGCAACCCAAAAGTCTCACATAAACACTGCATTTGTAAGACATGGCTTCCCAGCCTTTGGTTTGAAGTGAAGAGCTATTGTAAGAGTTCATTCTGTATGCTGCCAGCAGAAATAAATTTCACACATTTTAGTCTAGATTTTAATATCCACAACACACAGAAAAGTAGGGCAATACAGGCAGGCTTTCCAAAAGCACAGTGATCAAACACATCACATATATATATCTGTAAGCCTGTGTAAACAGATAACATCCTTCAACTACAGTTTAGATTCCCCGCAATTTAAGATCTGTCAAGGCAACAGAAACAAACCCATGAGAGCTCACAGTTTTTCTAGAGTCAGAATTCCTTCCTTACTGGAGTATATGCCTATCATGCTGAAGAAAATATCCCCCCCCACACACAGAGCCAGTAATAAACTCTATCTACAAAGGCAGCTGAAGTCCAGCACATGCAGTTTTACAGTGCCTGCACACGAGGACCTGCATTACCTCTCACAGACTCCATATCTGAGAATGGGGTACCTGCAATTTGCTTCATTCCAATAACAGTCTTTGCCAGCAGGCAAAATAACCCAGCCTTATAATCAAAATTATTCCCTAACTCAACCCTCAAATATTTTGGGTAAGAGCTATGTGAGGAAGAATGGTTCCTCTTCCCTTCTAAGTCAGAAAATGAAATCATTGGGTGCTATTCCAAGCCCTACAGATTGCAGGTATCACTGCCAAATCAAGCAAACAGGCAAAAATACTGCAAGACACAGTAAGGGTGGTTTTTTGAGCCTTAGTGACACAGGACTAAGAACAAATGAGGGAAAAAAATGGATGAACACAGCACAAGACAAAATAAATTCATGTTTTCATAATCTAATTTTCCTTTTTAATATTATCATGAACTTTCATTGACAAAAGGCCACCTTCGTTCAGGGAGTAAATTTTGGGTGACTTGAGGTTGCAATTTTATATTTTTTAGCAGCTCATTGTAGCATTTATTGCTGAGACCCATCTGAAGTTGTGTATTACAGATGGGCTTTTGATCTCTAGAGGCACAAAGCTAAGTGGGGTGTCTTCAACCCACATCCTATTCAGGTCTGGACATACTTGAAAGAACAATCAGAAAGATGTCAGGAACCCCAAACTGAGACATGCCTGGGGTACATTTTCTGAAGCCTCTGAAAACTGTCATTTTGAATACTATGGGTGAAAGGATCAAACTCTTCTGTTGTGTTGTGGTCAACAGCTTTTTTACAGAGTTACCCTTGGAAGTCAAGACCAGAAGGATCAAGATCTCTTTATAGGTGGCAGCTCTGAAACTCCAAATGTGAATACTTGACCACAGGATATGCTACAAAAAGTGATTATGCAGGTCAGTTTTCAACACTAAGAAAAGCAATTTAATAAGGTTGGCAAGTTTATCCAGTACCTACCCTTCTAAGAAAGTCATGAACTCATCTGCAAATCACTGAGAGAATTAGAAACTATTATGAATATGATGAGAATTGTAAAATTTATTCTGTACCAGATACTTCTCATGGTTTATTTTAAAATCGTATTAAAAAAAAAATAAGGAAAAGTTTTAACAGCCTTTGAACTGTAACTTTATTCCTTTAATATTAAACCTTGCTGGAACTCTGAGGCCTAAAAGAAATAGGAAATTCATACACCACTGAAAAGAGAATCTTGTACCACACTGTAAATTGCTTGGAAAAATGGGCAAGAGTAAAACCTCAAGATAAAAAAAAATCACCATCAAAGGCCTCATTTTCCACATCCTCTCGTGGGCAACTGCCTGTCTTGAAACAGTTTATATTAAAGCCTAAACTATCAGCTCCTGCAAAAAGATACTGGAGTGCTAAGGCACATTATTGACGATCCAACACTGCCTCCTATGTTTTGTTAGGAGAACACGGGCTGTTATTCCTCCACATCTCAAAAAACGTTGAAATTCCCCTACAATTTGAAATTCAATATTAAAAGGATTAAGTCTGGCATCAGAAAGGTTGTCAGAATGCAGAGGCATTATCACATCATTAGAAGTACTGCTAATATTTCTACCAGTATCAAGGTGAGCAATTAATCATGTTTTAACAAAACATAATCCACCCATTCTAACAATAAGGAAGAAAACTGTATTTTACACCAATACATCCATCAGGGCTATACAGAGCTTTTTGTTCAAAAGAGGAGTTTTAATCACTTAACAGAAATCCCAGTTAGAAAGGGATTTTTTTATCACATATATTCAACACTAAATTTCTGAAAGCCTACATTAATGCCTGAAAAATTAAGATCACACCACCCAAAAGATTTTTTTTTAATTAAAATACAATGCTGACTTTGAAGCAGAAACAACATTAACTGCATTAATGAGCATATCACTCTGAAGTCATTGTTAATTTATTTTAAATTAACATGCTGTAAAGGTAATTCATTAGTCTGAACTCTTCAACCAAGGTGTCAGCATCATGAAAGAATCCAAACTTTTAAAACAGTCAAAGCAATTTAATCATGCTCAGTATATTTGCACTGAGTCCATATTTTTTAATAGTTTGTATTGAAGCATTACATGGTTGAAGTTTTCTCAGAACTTGAGACAGTTGAGAATTACAAGGGCATTCCCTGGCCTGAACAAAGTTTAGAGGCAGACAGGAAATGGGAGAGGAAGAAAAAGGCAAAGAAAGTGGTTTGCCTTAAGTCTCACATCATTGACTTAGATTTCTAGGTCAAAACCCAGATCTACAAATTGCCATTGCAGTACGTTTACCATATTATGACCCATGATGTGGATATTTAAGTTTATAAAACTGCACAGGAAAAAAAACAACAACACCAAAAAGAGGGTATTCAGCATTTCAGCTGTTACTTATGTAGGGCAAGAAACCTTTAGACCATACTGAGTATTATTGACAAAGTAGAAATATAGTGCATTTCTCCTCTCTCCAAGTAGTCCTTCCAAGGGATTTGGATGCATTATGTATGTAATTTTCATTTGTTCAGCACTTCAGGTTCTTATGCCAGCTACATTTTTAATTTCTGCTTGCTAAGGACTAGTGAACTGGCAGCTGATCAATAGTATAATTAAGGACGACCACTGTTCTGATTTAGCAATAATCATTGCACTGTTTGGGGACATTCTGTACAAATAACTTTGTAATTTAGAAATGCCAAGCTGAGACTGGACAATAATATATGCTTTAATCAAGTATGACATAGTCATAAATTACAAGATACACACAGAGGCCAAGGTGATTTCCCACAATCATGACATAAGCTTTGCTTTTTTACCACCTTAGCTGTGCTATCTGGTGGTCTTATCACATTGGAAAAGGAGCCTAAATGGACTGGACCAGTGGAGTTTGAGGTGTTGCCTTTCTGCAAGAGGTTATGTGGCATTCACATTCTCTGAAAAAAATCCCTTTGCCCAGGATTTTTCTCCTGAGAAGTTGAGAAGCCTCAGAGAAAAGGAAAACAATTCTTATCTCATTTGCTTCTCCTCTGCTTTGCTCATGTGGAATGTGTTTGGAGATTGTTGCATTAGGTTCTGGTGTGAGTTGTTTTCATTCATTGGCCAATCAGTGCCAAGCTGTGTCAGGACTCAGGAGAGAGTCACGAGTTTTCATTATTATCTTTTTAACATTCTGTAAGTATCCTTTCTGTATTCTTTAGTATAGTATAGTTCAGTATTCTTCAATATAATATAGTACCATAAAATAATAAATTAGCCTTCTGAGAACATGGAGTCAGATTCATCATTCCTCCCTGCCATGGGGGTCCCTGCAAATACAATAAGGTTACCCTCCCACAGCAGCATCAGGAGGAGGGAATGTGCCTGCTATGGGCTGCTCAGCCACCACTGTTCTTGAACTCTGTGAACTTCAGGTGAAATCACTGACACTTCAAGTCAACAGCCATGCTGTGAAACCTCACAGCACAGCCACGAGAATGTCTTCACTGCCTCTGCCACCAAGCCAGTGCTGACTGCAGGGGTGAAGAGCTGAGGCACTCACTGGAACTGATACAAGATTAAACTGGACAGAAAATACACTGATTTCAGTATCAGTGAAGGTGGTTGAACCAATTCATTCTACCATACAAGGAGTTGCCACATCTAAATCAAGTGGCACTTGCTGAACACTTGCTTGTCTCTGAGACTCACTAGAAAACAGTTAATCAAACAGGAATTCTGCAAAGAGCTCTGGGTACTTTTTGCTGGACTTCTCTGTACGTGAAGACAGTAAATACAAACTCCATACTAACAGACCTACAAGAATCAGTCCTGAAAGCCAGTGCAACAAAAATTTTACTGCTCAACTCTGTGAGCAAGCCATCCTCCAGACACCCCACCTCTCATTAGGGGAAACCATGAAAAGCAGCTCCTTGGGAAGGCACCAAAGGCTTCTGAGAATTCACTCACCTCTGACAGGTAAACTATAGATTTCCCACTTCCCCCATTCCTTTCATTCTCTGTGACCTCAGAATCATGAATTCTTCATTCTTCACAATTATTTCCCAAGCCCAACATACTTTTCAAACTGTTTTATCACTCCAATATCTTCTCCCCTCCTCCTCAGTCTCTTCCTCTTCCTCTCTCACCTCCTTTCATTGCAGGTTAGGCATGATGTAAAACCCAACATCAGAATTTGACTTACAGCCTTGCTGTCAAGAGCCCCTTTTTTTTTTTCATGCACCAAAAACTCAGGAAGAGAGTCTCATTAGTGCTGCAGGAATAAAAATCAAGGCAGTTGCACAGCATTAATATAACTGGTCTCACACTTTAAAAAGAAAATTTTTATCAAGACATAAGCCACTTGACATGAAACTTACACCTGTTAACCCCCTAAAAGGCACCTGGAACAATGGCTTTGCATTTGACTGAGTCTCCTAAAATATCCTGTACAGTGAATAAGCATTGAATAATTACTGGAAAAGAATCTCTCAGATACCAAGCCATGGATTGCCCCTTTTCTTTGAAATTCTGCTTGTCTAGGAAAAACAAAAAAGTAACCATAGTAACAGAAATATCAACTCCAGTAATCTCATTTTCTTTCAGAAAAATGCTGTATTTTAGAAATGAGTGACATAAATCAAGGAGATGCAGGTACTACAGGAGGAAACTGTTCCTATACAATTAAATACTCCCTTCATGTGAGCAGATAAAAATCAACCCCAAGCATATAATATTTTAAATTTTATCTGTAATTGCTATCCTTAGACACCTGGAATGTATTTGTTTCAATAGCTACAAGAACTTGTGTTCAGAACGAGCTCTAGAATTATGTGAAATATGTTAGCAGAAGTCTCAAGCATCTTTCAGGCACCCACACAAACCTCAACATCTTTAAAATAAGAGGACATGGTAAAGTCACACTGCATTACCATAAGAAGTGGCACCAATAAGGAGGGTAGCAACAAGTAAGCACCAAGAGGGGTGGGAAGGCAAAACATCTCAAGAATACAACACGACTTGCTCTGAAAAGGTAGTCAAAAAAATATGGTCTTAGTCCATAGTGTCAAAGCACACTGGTTGCATGTGCTACTTTGATGTCTTTCTGGTTTGCTTTTGGCTTTTTGTGGCTGTGTGTAACTAAGATTGTCTGCTGGAAATCGACTTACGGCTGAGTGAGGTCACGAGTGATGAAGTCTGAACTCTTGAAGAGGAGGAAGATGTCACTGAGAGCTTTACATTTCAGAGAGCTGTTCATTGCTATCCAGTAGGCATCCTAAAGAAACACAGAGGTTACCTGAAACACACCTTTATGAGCAGGAGAGACTGAAAACTCCAAGTCTATCTAAATATCATGCAACGTTTCAAATACATGCAGAAAATGATTTCTTCTTATTTTGAGGTAAATTTCATTAGTGGTTAAAAGAGACAAAATAGTGCTTGTTTTTCTTATGAATACTCTGATGAAAGCAGTGTAAATTTATTTGCAAAAATAAGTTTTTGCCTTACTGCTTCCAGGAACTTTCTTGGAATGCCTGACTGAACACAATACCTCTTCAGAACACATAACAACAGTATTTGGGTGCACTCATCCTTACAGTATAGTTAAGAGTACCTAAAATTAACTAGAGGAAAGTTTATTGCCTTTTTTTTTGAAACTGTGGTACTTTTCATCTTTATACCAGGTAAAGTTTTCAACTAGTATCCTGACCAAGAAGAGCCTGCCATCACACAACCATCTGTGACCAGGATATAGGTTTTAGATAGTAAAGTCAGTGCTGCCATGCATCAGCCTCCCTAAAAATTCACCATCTAGTGATAGACAAGATATGAGTATCTAAAATTAACTAGAGGAAAGTTTATTGCCTTTTTTTTTTTTTTAATTGTGGTGCTTTTCATCTTTATACCAGGAAAAGGTTTCAACTAGTATCCTGAACTAGTTTTAGATAGGAAAGTCAGTGCTGCCATGCATCAGCCTCCCTAAAAATGCACCATCACATCTAGTGATAGACAAGATATCAGTGAAGTGATGGATTCCACTTAGACTGAAGAATCCACCACTACACTGATATCTTGTGTATCATCTCTTCCTTCATCAGAACCACTAGTCTCTTCTTCTTTCCAAAGCATTGAGAGAAAACAAACACAAAACATTTTGTATGACAAGATCTGTTACAAGTTTTGGGAGCCAGCATTCTTACCCTTGGAGCACTCCAGTTGAGTTTAGGAAAAACACTGCCACCCAGGGAACTTATTGCTTCCTGAACTTTAGCTGTGAACTCGGGAAATTCTGGTGCCTGAACAACAGCAAAAATACAAATTTTAATCCATTTAATAGTGAACTGTAGACATCTTCTAAATACTATTAGAAATAAGTCCAAAATCAGTATGAACCTCAGAAACATAGTGCACAATAAAATCACTTAAATAAATCACTTAATCAAATCTGTCATTTTTTTCAATCAGAGAAGACTGAAAATGCTCCAGTTCTCACTCTCATTACTAGCAAGTAATGAACATGAACTTCAGGAGAAAACCCAAAACATCCTAACAGCCACCATGAAAACTGCAATAGCTGGCAAAAATACAAGTCAAATAACCAAACCTTAAATCCTTACCTGTTTGTTTATATCCTATGGTAGATTATTGTATACAAATAAGATCCAGTAATATTTAAACTTATAAAGAGTGATTTTAGAATTAAACATACCTTTATTAATTCACAGGCAATTTGAGCGACAGCTGCTCATTTAGGCTCTAGTTTTACAAAATGTTAGTAATACTTTAACTAATCAGCTCTTCAGTTAGGTCTTGAAGTAGCTGCTTAACAATATATTGATCCAAAATAGAGGACACTGCAAAGGTTGGACTAGAAAACCTTGCCTTATAAAGAACATGGAAAATGTAAGATTGGGGTAAAAAAAACCCAACTCTTCAGGTTGTTCCAAATTCTATTCTGAATGTGGTGCTACAGGAAAAAAAAAAAAAAAAACAAAACAGGTTGCTGACCTTTAAAATAATATGAAAGGATTTGAAGCATATGTCAAAGATTTTTCATATAACAGGATTTATAGCAAGAAGTATATAGGAACACTATTTCTATCTATTTTGAAACTCAATTCAAAAGTAACTCCTAGGCTAAAGTTAATTGATGCCTCTTAAACAACAAAACCCTCACAGCCATACAAATGAATAAAAAATCTCATACATTCTGGCATCTCCTCACTGCAGACTCCCCAAATGCAAACACTTAAAAAAAACCTCACATTTTAGTGCAGTGACCTTGACTGAACTTCAAGCATTCTGAACCTTTCCTTCGAACATTACCTAGTCTCCATGGGAAACTACACTCGGAAAACTGAAAAAAACCCCACTTCTCTAATCTTATTTTTAGACTTTCAGTTGATTCTACAAACTGCTCATACAAGAAGCAAAACTCTTCATCCACTGCATTCAGATCCAAGCTTCTCTTGTTTTGACAGGAATCAGGAGTCCTACTATGTATGTAAAACTAGCACATACTAAGCCTCCTTGGGAAAATGTTACCAACGTGTTATTTGATTAACAAACGGGACAAATATACACACAAGAGGAAAGTTCTACAACTGCATAAACAAGCTGGACTCCAACATTTCCTGAATTTTGAATGCCTGGCTTTGTAACCATTGATAATAATGCAAGTTATTCTAAAACCACAATTTTCTGCCCCTCCACTTCCCTCACGAGGAAGCTGCAGACTTACCTAGATATACTAGAGTCATTTACCCTGTGCTCTTCTGACAGGTAAATACCTCTTAATGATGTATTCCTTATTGTGTTCTACATTATAACAGAACCTGATTCAAAACTCTGCTATTACTTATTTAGCATCATTACCATGAGCTTTGCAAACCATATGATAGATACTAAAACCCTTGTTTTAAATAATTTATAACTTAAGGAATCTAGGTTATCAAAGGTTAAATATTTGAACTGAAGATTAATCAGTGTGCACCAATTTGAAATGTATTTGTTTTAAACTCTAGGCTATAAATTCTGTGCTAGCAGAAGCACCACTCAAAGCAGGGTTATAATTATATGGCACCTAATCCAACATGAGCAATTCCACACCCTGATGAACATTAGGGAGCTAAAGGACTTAAGTCACAGCATCGACGGCAGACAAGTGCCTTGAGTATTTTAATTCTGACAGGGACAGGGCAACAGCAAATTTTAAAAAAAGATGTAAGAAAAAGATCAAGAAAGCCTGGTCTGCATCCATTATGATCTTGATTCCACGTGCAAGGAGACCATAAAGACAGGAAAACAAAACAAAAAAAAACCATGATAGAGATGTACTTAGAAGAAATAATGGCACATCAAGAGAAGAGCTGTGAAAATTGAGCTGCAGGGGCTTGGTTTCTTCTGCATCCAATCTGATTAAATAATTTGGAGATACTCAAAGTGGTGAAAATGAAAGACAGCTATATTTAGAGCTGTACTGCAGTTCATTTCCTAGAGTCTAATAAGTGTATGATTGTCAGGGATGAAGAAAAAGTGTTTTGTTTTAGTTAAATAAAATTAAGCCAGCAAAACTTTTTTGAAGTTGCAGACATCTATACTGCCATCCATCTAAAATGGTCTGAAAAAAGTTAAATACAGCAAGAGATATCTCTAACCAGCAACAAGTTTGTATCACAAGGCTGCAGGAAGGAAACTGCTGACAAACCCACACTGGGCTTTTACAGGACCTTACCTTAAGTGTTGTAGTGTTCTCATCATCTGACCACTGTTCAAAATAAGAACAAACCAAAGGTTACCAGCTTCCTGAGCCATCCTTTATCATTTATGAGAGCATCAGAATTCATGAAGCCTCTCACAACATGTACATCAAAACATTGCCCCAGACAGCATAACATCATCATCATCCTGCAATTATTTTGGCTGTAAAGTAAGACAGGAAAAACACTGTATATTCAGCAGGAGTACTACTCCAAAGCATTGATAAAAAGATACCTGTATGTATTTCAATTTTGATTTACATCAGAAAGATGGACTTTTCAGAACTCAGTCTTCCCTATCTACAGCTTGTCTCCAGCTCCAGAACTTCCATCCTTAGACCCATGATCCATTAGCTTCACTTTTATTTATTTTTCATCTCCTTGTTGTACCTACTGTCACCTTGCAATTACAACATTTTTCAGTGTTTTCCTTCTAGAATGGCCTTCTGAGTTATTATGGCCTCAGAAACTTTCACTGTTTCTTCAAGTAACTACTCCAAACATACTCCTAATTTTTCAGGGCATGAAACAGCATTAAGTTCAATTTCAACATTCCCCAATCATTATTACAAATGCAATTATCAAGAAATGAAAAATAAAAAAAAAAGTCTTCTGTGAAAGAGCACAGAAATAGCTCAAAGTTTCCCTGACTTCACAGCATAAGTGATCACATTTTTATGTTTTTCATGGCAACTACCACATGATAATTATTTCAGTGAAGGACTCTCCACATCTATAAATTATGCAGAAAAAGTTATACACTCATATTTTTCTCAAGAGACTTGACATTAATTTGCATTTTACACTGACCTGTATCTCCTCTGCATCATCACTCCCCTCCTGAGCATGACTTGGCGGATCTTCTCTGAAACAAAAAATTAACAGGAAAAAAAATTAAGCACTGGAGTTTGACTTGGCCATGCCCATTACATTTCCACAGCATTTCCAGCCCTTGATGTCAAAATGTTTTCATAAGAAGATTAAACATCAAAACCCTGGCAGAGAAAAATCAGACATGCCAGTACTGAAAACTAAAGACCAAATAGCTGGCATTAGGCTTAGGTCCTACCCTGGACACTTTGCTTCTTTTAAATAGAAGATCAGTTTTTGCTCTAAAACACCATAATTGAAGCTTTTCAACACTCTGTCAATGATTCTTTTCCAACTTTACTCTGACATGAACACAAATTTAATTTTTTTGAAATAAATTAAATTTAAATTTTTGACTCCATACTCCCTTTCCAAGTAAAAATTCATAAACCTTGAGTTTCAAATGTTGACCTGTGAATTTCTGGCTCTGAAAAGAAAATGTCCTCACACTCAGCATACAGGCAAAAGAAGATCCTATGGAAAGTGGAGAGTGCAGCAAACAGGGCAAGGTAAAATGCACATCCCTGCCAAAAGTCAATTCTTAGACAAGCTGAGTCTCTGCAGTCCCTCAATGCACTTCCACAGGGACTAAACCATCAATCCATTTTTTTTGAGATCTAGAGGACAGATAGGGGTGCACTGAAGGTTAGAAGCAGTCTTGGCCTTGACTGCAAGGTCATCACATTCACTTACAACTAAGGAAATTCAACTCAGAGAAAAAAAATGTTTTCTAAAAGGGATTTTAAATGCAAACATCTTAAAAATGTAATTTAAGTCAATCATACAGGTGTCCATTACTCCATTGAAGACAGCAAAATTGTAGAACACAGCTGTTAAGTCAAACCTTCCATTTCAGCTTTTCTGAAGGATTATTAAAATATACAGCTGCTGCTAAATAAATTGCACAATTCTGCAGATGCAGGTGACAATACTACTTCTGATCCAAGATAGTTTAAAAAACAATTCTATTTTTCTGGATATCCTTTAATAAGGAAAAGAATTTAGAAATGAAAAATGAAACAATGCCTTTCATGTTTACAAGGCATTTAAACAGCTTCAATGTTTATATAAATTGATAGCTGATGAATCAAACCAAGCTCCCTTTCACTCACAGCCTCACTGGTTGCTCTGCAAGGGGCAAACTACCAGTTAGGGAATCATGGAGTGAGGACTGATTTTTGAGTTTGATCATTAACAAGATGCATGCAGCAAGCATTCCACAAGGAAACCACACAGTGAGATCCTACACAGAAACAAAAAGCAAGGCCTGTGATCTTACCAACTGTTCCTGCTACCTCTCCACCTCATTCTTCATCCAAAATCCTGACATGGGTGCCCATACAGGACATTCAGCTTTGTCATATGCATGGATTGCAAGTGATTATACAAAATGTTACTAATTACTGAGTCTGTATATAGCTTATTTTATTGAGAATTGAGCTCAGGTAATGTCACTTCACCCCTGGACTGTCATGGGACAGGTCAAGCCTGTGAACTGGACCCAACCAGATCCAAAGAACCAAACACAAACCAGCAGCTGAGCATCCCAGAGACTGGTACACTCCCTACAGAAAGGTGGACAAAAAAAAAAAATGAAAGGACTTTGTCCACTTGGTCTAGAAGGAATTGTAGTTCATGGATTTTAGGATCTGCTTCAGGCATCAGCAAATCCAGCTGTACTAACAAGAGTCAGCCCATTCACATGCTCACACAGCGTGAGGTTCACTGCAGTCACACTGGTCAAATTGAAAAACTCATTATGCTCAATACAATATGTATCTACAAAAAGGTGCTGTGAAGGAAAAATGGCACTAATACTTGGAAGCTGGGGAGAAAACACAAATTTACCTTCCAGAAACCACCAGTGTTCCATCATCCAGCAAATATTCTTTCACATTCTCTGGCAGGGGAAGAATAACACTGGAAAAAATGTGAAAATCTCTTTAATACCTTATTATTATTTGTTATAATAAAATCCTAGTGGAACAAAGCAATTTGGTTTTTTTCATAGCACATACCCCCACTATACTATGTTTTATCCTCTAACATTATGGAAGAAAATTCTCTCACCCATCTTATCCCTCACCCAAAAAAGCAATGCCCATTTTCCCTCCATGGATGCACAGGACAAACATTTTAGATGAAATATACAAAAATGCCCCACTCCTTCAAAGCTATAAGAAATTCCAAGTAAAATTGTGTGCAGCTTGTGAGGAGACAACATGTTGCTCAAGGGTTTTCTGAAATCCAAATCAAAATTTGCCTATGCCATCCTAATGTTCCAAAACGCAGGACTGTCACCAAACTTGCCAAAAATAAGCCTGCGTTAAACACTAAGAAAGATAAAAGATCAAATGCTTTGATTACTAAAAGCATGATGTCAGCACTTTTTGATCCAACAGGGTGGCTATCTCGACTTTCCTGAGCTACTGGTAGCTCTTGTAACCATCCCATGACCTGCAGCAGCACCTTAGAAACTGCAGAATTTTCTGTGGCTTCCAGAAATACACAGAAACACCAAGGTGGCCACTTGGGTTGGATCTATCCAGTCACAGTTTAAGCAGGCAAGTAGGAACAGTGTGGATATCTTCTGATGCTCAGCATGGAGTCCCACCAGGAGAGCAGGGAGCACAGGGATACCTGGCCTGCCCCAGGGCTTCCCAAAACACTCCCTTGGGATGTAGAGACAAGACCCCAGCTCCCTGGACTGCAGCTGATGGCTCAATCAATCCTTCACCACCTCCAGCCCAGCTCTGCCCCACACAGGTGCCCTATCTCACCCAAGCCCACAGAATCCCAAAATGGTCAGGCTGGAGGGACCACAGGGCTCGTCTGCTCTGACCTCCCTGCTCAAGCAGGGCAATCCCAGAGCACAGGGATGTGTCCAGACCCTTCTGGAATAGCTCCAGCAAGGGAGACTCCACAGCCTCTCTGCACAATCTGTTCCAGTGCTCGGTCACTGCACAGGACAGAAATTCTTCCTCATGTTCAGGTGGAACTTCCTGGGCATCAGTTTCTGCCCTTTGCCTTCTATTGCTGGGAACCACCAAGCAGAGCCTGGTCCATCCTTTGGCACCCCCTCTTTAGATATTTACATCATTAATAAAGTCCCCTCTCAGTCATCTCTTTTTCCTTCCAGTACCTGAAGGGAACTTGCAGGAAAGATGGAACAAGACTATTTACAAGAGCTTGTAGTGACAGCACATGGGGGAATGGGTTCAAATTAACAGATAGATAGATATTAGGAAGACATTCTTTCTTGTGAGGGTGGTGAGGCCCTGGCACAGGCTGCCCAGAGAAGCTGTGGCTGCCCCATCCCTGAAGGCTGGAAGGAGCAACCTGGTCTAGAGGAAGGTGTCCTTGCCCATGGCAGGGGATTGAAACCAGATGATCTTTAAGGTCCCTGCTAACCCAAACCATCCCGTGATCCCAGACCTGAACAGGCCCAGCTCCCTCAGCTTTTCCATTCCCTTAATCACGCTCGCAGCCCTGCAGTGGACCCGTCCAGGAGCTCCACGTCCCTCCTGCTCTGAGGAGCGCAGAAGCGGACACAGCAGTGCAGGTGAGCCCCAGCAGGGCTGAGGGGAGGGGCACACACCCTCCCTCGCCCCACACTCCTCCCAGCCGCTCCCACCGGCCGCACACTCCTCCCCACGCTCGCCCCACAGCGCTCCCCTACGCCCCTCACCGCCCACACCTGCGGATGGTGACTGCCTTGAAGAGCGGGTACCACACGGAGAACTGGCAGTGCGCCACCTGCTCCTTCTTCATCCTCCTCTTCCTCCTCCTCCTCCTCCTCAGCCAGGCCGCTCCCGGAAGCTCCCGCTCCGCCCGGAACCTCCCGCGCAGCTCCGGGCGCCGCCCGGCGCCATCGCCGGCGCACAGGGCCCGGCCCCGCCCCCGCCGCCTCAGCGCTGCCCGGTGCCGGCGGCGCCCCGGAGCGTCCCGCAGCGCTGCCTTCGCTCTGCCCTGCCCCGAGCCCAGGAGGAGCTGAGTAACGCCTTATCCTTTAGGTTCTGCTGTCCTCCCTGTGCCCTGCATGGAGCTGTTTCATAGGCTCTTAGGAGGTTAAGGGGCTGGAAGGGATCTTAAGGATCGTCCAGTTCCAATCACCCCCTGCCACGGGCGGGGACCCGTGAGACCGGGTTGCTCAAGGCTTTATCCGACCTGGCATCCACAGCTCCCTGGGCAATCTGTTCTGGTGTCTCACCACCCTCACAGTAAAGGATTTCTTCCTAATATCTCACCTAAATTTCCCCTATTTCAATTTGTACCCATTACCCCTTGTTCTGTCACTGCAGTTCTGATGGATAGGCCCTCTCCAGCTCCCCTGTAGCTCCTGCAGGTGCTGGAAGGTGCTCTGAACTCTCCGCGCAACCTTCTCCAATTTTCTCAACCTGTCTTTGTAGGGGAGGTGTAGGAGGTCATTTTATCAACTTTGTGGCCTCCTGTGGACTTTCTCTGACAGCTCCACGTCCTTGTAGCGCTGGGACGCAGAACTGTGCACGGGGCTCAGTGGGTCTCACCCGGGCCGGGGAGAGGGGCTGGAGCTTTGGCTGCAGCCCCGGGCTGTGAGCTCGCATTGCCAGCTCGCGTTAATATTTTTATCAACCACTATTTCATTTTGTTCAGTCCCAAGTCTAGCATTAACATGGGGGATGTTTAAGCCCCGTGGTTCAGCTGTTGTGTCCCCTGCACGGCGTTGTTTCCATGCGATGTTCCCTCCTGTGTCCGGGGATGTCTCCCCAGCTGTGTGACCCCTCAGCTGTTGGGAAGTTTGATAACACCGCGGAGCTGCCTCTCACCCTTCTGCTTCTGTGAGATAATCCTTGTTTGCTTTGCAGCTACTTGCCCATGTTTTATTTGGCACTCAGTGGGTCATCCATGCTCTTAGATACCATGATAAAAATGAAACGCTCTCCCCCACTTTTCTCCCTCCCCTCAACTTAATTGCTTTTAAATTGATTTTGTTTCTAGAATCGTAGCACTAAAGTGCAAGTAACAAGTTTAAATTGCCTTGGGAGTTTTTAATGATGTGTGTCTTCAGCTTAGGTATCTCGGAGTGCTGTTGGTTAAATCGTGCATAAAATGTTGCCAGTGTTTCTTTTGCACATTCCTTATAAGAAGAAAAGTATCTGTATTTTGTTTGACCTTGACCTTGAGTTTGCCATGGGACCCCCATTGGTGAGCTTCCATTAAATCTGGTTGCTGTCAGCTGGAATGTGTGTTTGGATCAGAGAATGTCTTCTGAAAAGTGACTTAGGGAAGCTAATCCATCTATCTAACTATTAATATTGAAGTATAGTTCTGATATCTTGACTTCTCTCTTGAACTGATTCACAGACCTCAGTTGGCTTAAGATTTTAACTGCTAGGAAAGATAGTTTGGGAACTGTAGCAGGCTGGATGCTGCCTTGAAAGGAAGCCACTCAATAAAGAAATAAGCAATGGGAATAAAGTTTCACATTTTATAAATGACATGGCTTTTTCAGGATAGAATTTGACCCTAGTTTGAAATAAATGGAAGAAGTAGCATGATTTGCCAGCAGTACACTCTAATATTGGGCACAAAAACTACTAGACAAAGTAGAAAACATTTATTTTCCCCCATAACTGATTGTTTGAGTGCTGTTGATTCATGTTAAGGCAGCTGATAAATGTGGGCACTTTGACATATTCTTAAGATTGGATTTATAACAATTAAAAATGTATATTCTTAGAGCTCATGTAATCCTAAGTCAGGTAGCCAGGCTTCTGTATCAGCTGCATTGAATTTTTAACTCAAATAAACTCATATTCATGTGCTGAGGGAATTTTATGAGATAGAAGAACTGCAAGACAAGGCATGTTCTGGAAGCTAAAGAGGCCTTTAGAAACCTCACATTTTAGTGTTAAATTTAATTTTCAGTTGCAGCTAATTTTGTTTATGAACAAGAGTTGTTGCTGTCCTTGACAGCATGACTAATGTGAGATGCCAGAACTGCAGCCTTCATTTAAGCAAACAGTATTTCAGCTTTCTAACAGCAGAAATTCTCACTTCTGTACTGCCAACTGAATCTGGACAAAAATACTGGTTTTGTGGAGCTTCTAAAAATGTCAATATACATAGAGTTACTGCACCCACTTGTGGAGGAGACCCAAACTACAGAAGCTGGGCTAGATCAGCGTTCCCCTTTCTTTGAGGGGGTGTTCACCCATTTTAGGATTTAGTGATAATTCAAAGCACTGAAACTGTGTATTTTTTTTGTTGTTGTTGTTTTAAGTGGCAAGTCACTGCTGAATCTCTCGAGCTGTTTTGAAAACAGGTTCTGCCATGAGATGAGGTTTTAGTGGTTTTTTTTTTCATTATACAACTGTGGTAATCCACATTTGAGAAAGATACGGAGGTATTTGTGCAGAAGGATTGGGGTGATCAATGGAACAGGATTTCCTGTGAGGGAAGAGTAAGACTTAGCCCAATCCAAACACAACTTCAACAAGGCTGTGGTTCACTCTCCACTCCTTTGATATATTTATATTGACAATGCAAAAGGCTATAATTCTTTCCAAATGTAGGAGGTGAATTTGCTGTAGCTGGGTCTGTAAGGCTTTTGTGTTTTTAAAGGCATCACACAGAGCCTCCTTTGACTGTTTCTCCTGGGCTGTGCTTCTTTTGCCTGTCTTTGGTGGAAAGCTTGATTTTTGAGAGTATTTGAGAGTCACAGCATGAGACCATGGCCATTGTCCAGATAAAACTCTTCAGTCCTAAGAGAAGGGAGTTCCAAACATTGGAACAGCTCACTGAAGTGGGATAGAAACTGGAACACAAGCAACTGAGCAGTTTGTCACACAGATACTGGTAAGGTAGATAATAAAACTAAGTGGTTTTGAAAAGGAGCTTCATTGCCTGAAGAGAATATTATAGAACATATTTTTGAAGGAAGAGAATTTGGTTTAACAGGTCAGGGTTTCTTTTCATTACATAAAACAAATCTGCACTTTTGACCTCTATGACCTGCTTCATCCAGAACCACTTTCTTAAGACTTAAGAGAGCCTGCCCTGTGTACAAACCAAGGAAATGGTGTCATGTACCTTAGTTTTACTCCTGCTGATAAACAGAAGTATTTATTCCTGCCTGTTCCTTTTAACTACTTACTGCAAGTAAAGGTCAATCAGCTATGTAACAAAGCTGATTGTTGCTCTTTCATGTTTCAATAGCGTGCAACAGATGTTACCACAAAAAGGATTAAGATGAAGTGAAAAATGAAAGTACTGAAGTTGGGTGTGACAGAGAAACTTTTCACACACTTTGTACTGTTCTTTGCTAGAGACCACACAGAGCCTTATTAATCCATAGTTGAAGTCATGGAAAGATTCTTTTTGACTTTTTGGAAAGATTATGAATGTCAGTGCTATGGATGATTGAGATCTTTAAGATTATCTCATCTCATTTCTCCTGGTGTAAACTGATTTGTTTCTTTTCACTGGCTTTTCCTTATGATTCATGATGGTTTTCTGGTATGAGTTTCTGTGCTGAAAGTTCCCTGTAGTTCCACAGTGACACAGGGTCAGTCTCTAACACTTTTTTTTTTTGCCTGCTGTGTCCTTAGGCTGGAACTGGATTGGGGGAGTGCATAATCTCACTTTCCTGAGGCTGCAGGCTGAGGCAGGTGCCCAGAGCCTTGCTTTGGGCATTTTTTTAAAGAAAATGCTGCCTTTTGCATGGTGTTGGGCACATCATTCCCAGTAAGAGACTGACATGCCATGGTCACACCATCACACCTGCCCCATGTGCTGCACAGGCTTGCAACACACAGGTAGTTTTTTGACCATGTTTTTAGTAGAAGGATTGAGTCATTTATGTGTTTATTTGTGATGTAAGCTGGAGGTAGGTTCTAGTTATTATTTTTAATAGCAGACAGTTTTTACCACCGAAGTCTGGAGGTAGGTTCTAGTTATTATTTTTAATAGCAGACAGTTTTTACCACTGAAGTCCTCTTGGTATAAGGTATTTTTTTTTGCACTTTCACGGGTGCCCAGAGCCTTGCTTTGGGCATTTTTTTAAAGAAAATGCTGCCTTTTGCATGGTGTTGGGCACATCATTCCCAGTAAGAGACTGACATGCCATGGTCACACCATCACACCTGCCCCATGTGCTGCACAGGCTTGCAACACACATGTAGTTTTTTGACCTTGTTTTTGTGGAAGGATTGAGTCATTTATGTGTTTATTTGTGATGTAAGCTGGAGGTAGGTTCTAGTTATTATTTTTAATAGCAGACAGTTTTTACCACTGAAGTCCTCTTGGTATAAGGTATTTTTTTTTGCACTTTCACGGTGGAGTGCACAGTTCTGCTGTCCAGACACTGTTGACAGAGCATTTCACCCAGTTCAGAATGAAACTATTTGAAATGCATTAATTGTCTGTATATATGTCTGACATCTGAATAGTTAACAAAAGTGTCTTCAGCTGGCATAGCTACCTGACAGCTGATAGGACTATTAAACTTACAAATCAGGAATTTGAACCAAATTTACATTTCTCCTTTGAATTATTTGGCTCTGAAATCACTGGGTGGAGCTGAAAACATGATATGAACTTGCCTTCACACGTCCCTGACTTTCTCCAACAAGCTATATTTGTTAATTTACGGTGCAGAAATGAACCTTTTAACTTTACACTGAAAGCAAATATTGATTTTGTTTCTTATATATCTGGACTTTGCACAGGAGGGGAAAAACCTGACATTCCTGAAAATGGCAGCTGAGACATCCACAGAAGTTGCAAAAACAGCTAAACAATTCGTCCTTAAGGAAGAGGTACAGCATGCTTGGGTTTGACACTTTT